AATAGCATCGCGTAATAAAAATCAAACCCCCAAAATTATAATTTGCGTAATTACTGGCGGTAGAACCTCTTGCGAGTCCGCGCGGGTGGGTACCACCACCCTGCCTATTTCTGCCGTGAAGCAGTAATGCGTTTCGGTTTGAAGGGTGGGGCAGCCGTTGTAACTATACTTGAGACCTTAGAACTTATATCTCAGGGTGGGTGGCGTATTTACGTTGTGGATGTCTATGGGCTCCAGTAACCACTTAATACCAGGTGGGCTGTGAGCTCGTCCACCCACCTAAGCAATAAAAAAAATGTCATCGCAATCTAGTCTAGCAACAACACAGGTTTGATCCTGACATAAACACCAATTCACTTTACTTAGTCTGTCACTGACATATTATGCATACGAACGACTTCTATAGTAAATATATAGAAAAGAGTTACATCTATAATAATATATAAATCTACAGTGGTTTTCACGGATGTTCCGTTATAACTACTAAACCGTGCATCCGATTGACTTGAAACTTGGTATCCATATAGAAAATATATGTACTTAATGGATAGGCTAATATTTATATGAATGTTGGCCACCCTACACCAGTTTCGGGGGCATTAATGATGAGAATCTTTGTACGGTTGAGAAATAATAATGTTAATTTTAAATGGCGAGCGAAGCGGACGGGTAGTAATATATAAGAACGACTATGCATTAAATTTTAACAAAAGGAACGTCTTAACTCATATCTCCACGAAACAGTCATGTGTTTCACTATGAGGAGTTAAATAGTAGCTATTCTAATGCACTCGAAGTTGCGACCAGACGTTTGAAGAGCACTGTAATTTGGATTGCGATGTCCATGCTCTAGTAACGGAAAGACACCAGACCCGTAAGACCGGCAGCCGATCGACGATAAAAAAATGATAAAGTTTTTTAGATAAGATAAAGATTTTCATAGAAGAAGCATGATTCCTCATGAATCCTACATGTTCATAGAGTTAGATATAACAGGTCGAAGAATGTTTTTACAAGACATACCTATACTAATATATAAAACTACAGTGGTTTTTACGGGTGTTCCGTTATAACTACTGAACCGTGCATCCGATTGACTTGAAACTTGGTATCTATGTAGAAAATACATGACAATGTACTTAATAGATAGGCTATATTTATATGAACGGCCGTCCGGTGTAGTGGTAAGTGACATGGTCACTACAAAAGGGGGTCGCGGGTTCGAATCCTGCCAAGGGAAGATATTTGTATGATAAATATAAAATGTCTTTTCCAGGGTTATGGATGTATATTAAATATATGTATGTGTATAATAAAAATCTTACATTTATTTCCGTTATCTGGTACCTGTAACACAAGTTCTTTACGAACTTATCACGGGACCAGTTAACGTGGCGTGATTGTTAGTAAATATTTATTATATTATTATTTATTTATTTATGCATACAATGTCATATGTAATATATAAGTACCTATATTTAACATTATGTGTATTCTATAATACTGAGATGTAACTTTAAGGAAGATTTTTGTTTTGATTTTGTTCTCTTTTTGTTTTGTTGTTGTTGTTTGTTATTCTTTTGTCAATGCACCTGCCATGCATTATCTCTGCACCAACCTATGGTCGACTGGAAGAGAATGCCCACGGCATTAAGTCCGCCTGTGAACAACTTTTGTTTTGTGCATAAAGTATAAATAAATAAATTAAATAAATTGCCTTTAACCGAATTTCCGAAGAAAGATTTTTCCAGCGTTCGTTTTTTTTTTTTGGCCTCCGTTCCTTCGAGGTTGCAGATAAGACATATTTAAAAAAAAATCGCAAACTAAATTCACTGAGATTTTTAGCTTTTGTTAGTTTAAATGAAATGTTATTCTTAACCATTGCTATTCTTATTATAAAGCTACGGAGAATTCGGCAATGGGAGTTGCCATAAATAGCAGCTTTAGTGCCAAATATAGAGCGTATCGTGTTTTACTATCAATGTATTTTTACACTTAATCACATACGTATGTATTCCAGTTTGAAGCACAGCAAAGCCGATGCTAATCCAACCCAAATACGTATTTATGACGTGCCCAGGAAATACAATGAAAGTAAGTTTATTTAGAGCCACATTGTATGTGACCAATAAGACATATTCTTGGAAAATTTTACACAAGGATAGATGATGATATCCTTTGTCCACTTTCAGCTATAAGGAAAAAAATCAAAAGCCCTCAAAAGTAAGTAGCATCAGTAAGCTATTCTAGTACCAGTCACAAGACGGTATAGCAATTTAAGGATATTTGCATAAGCTTGAGAAAATCTCCTCAAGGTCGGTTTTGCTTCAAGTGTTTATGTGTACAACGTAGTGCTTATTTACATTAAGCTCGGATGCTTCCCATTAGTTCCTCCCGAATGAAACTACTTGCGTATTTAAAGTTTCCACGGAAATCAGTCAATCTCTTAAAGTTTTACATTAAAATTTTGTTAAAATCTTTTTTTTTTTTTTTGTTATGTACCATAATAATATAGAAGATTGATTCTTTGATCCAATGGCAGACTAAACAAAATTATTATATAACATAACTCGATTGATGATTAAATAGTGGTATAAACGGATTTTATCAAAGCTTCAACCCATAGAGGTACTAATTATTTAGTTTAAGGTAAGACGCCTGACTTTGGCATCTACTAACTTTGTTATGCAATATATAAGTCGTCTATTATCAAAGGTGGCAATCTGTGCATTTGGACAAAAAAAATTTATTGATATGACAATACAGATTGATTTGAATATAATCGTCTCCTTCAAAGAATACGGTTCAAAACCTGCATTAAATAAAGGTTAATACTTAACCTGTTATATGTCTAAGATGTCGTTCCGAAGAGTTTTGTGACTGCCAATGGAATACAAAGTCAATAATTCGTTTTTCTGATTTACCAATCATTGTCCAAAAGTCAGATTGCCGGCTTTGATAATAGTCGACTCATATACAGTACCAGGCGATAAATATTGCACATGGATATTTAGACAAAGACAGTCGTCTAATTTTGGTTTTGTAGAGCGCTATCTCTATGTGACGAAACAACTATCTAATATCTATGGGGACCAAATGTCAATTAGGTAATGTGCGATAGAGATAACGCTCTACAAAACAAAAATTAGCCGACTGTCTCTTTCCCACGGTCGATGTACAATATTTATCGCCGGGTACTTTACATACATGTTTCAGGAGAGTTCCTATGTAGCAATACTTAATGGGTGGTGAATATTTAAATATTTTATTCACAAAATATGAGCGCGCCAACCTTTTATTGATAATAATGGACAGCTTAAAAGTTCGGCTGTTTTAGGAACCTATAGAAAACATGACGTAAGTACTATCTCGAAGTGATAATGACCTTTGAACAAAGCTTTTCTCACCCTTCACACACGGCACACATATATGCATATGTACGTAGAGCTGTGGAGTCAACTCGCGTGCATCTACACTATACACTTTTGAAGTTAATCTTCTTTTTCTCCACTTTATCCCACTAGGTGAGGTCGTCACAGCTAATTTTTCTCTTCCATGCTCTTCTCACAGCCGTTGTCTCAACACTCACTCCTCTCTCTCTCACATCGTTACTCACACACTCCATCCACGTTTTCTTCGGTCGACTTCTTCCCCTCGTTAAGTTTATGGGTTATTAATACTCTTTTAACAAAAAATTAAACTAAAATTCTTTGCTCCTAAAATTATGAGAAATTGTTCCTAAGAAACGATCAGAAGTTGTAATTAAAATTATTAGAACTTAGAAACTAGACTATTACAATAACTAATTAGTTATTATAATGAACATGATAATTATAAAGTTTGGAAACTGTCCGCCGCAACGTTTAGCTGATTTATTCGCTAGATTTGGTTCGCCGGTTTGTAGGCGTGGATTTTAACTAAATAGAATTTCGTAGATTTGAGATTAAGTTTGAAAAAATATCTTATGTTTTTCTGCGGTCAATTTATTTGTCTTCTTTTATCGACCCGTCAATTTTATATGACTTCCTGCTACTAGTAATAACTTAATTCATGTACAAAATTACTTTTATTGAGAGTTTGATTCCATTACCATGTCATTTCTATGACCGGTTTTTTTATTAAGCACTATTACATGTACTTTAAGCATAGAGAAATTTCCTCGTCTGACAGCAGCTACGACCTTGACATTGTCCATTACCGACAATTATGACCTATGGCTATTGTATGGCTTATGGCTATTAGCCGGCTATAAACAAGGCTTTGTTTGCCTCAAAAGAAAGATTAGTAGCGTATCCCGATGATTGGGGATTTCAATCAGTATAGTATTAACAAGAAGAACATGACAGACACAGGATTTTTTTATTGCTTAGATGGGTGGACAATCTCACAGCCCACCTGGTGTTTAGTGGTTACTCGAGCCCATAGACGCTTACAACGCAAATGCGCCACCCACCTTGAGATATAAGTTCTAGGGTCTCAGTATAGTCTCAGGATTAAGCCATAAAATCATTTTTATCATTTGTGTGCTGTGTCACAGAAAATACTATAATCAGAAATAGATCAGAATAAATCGTCAAGCGATAAGGGTATTTATAAAGGTCGGCGCCCGTCACGCGCAAACGGCGCGTCGCGCCACGTAACGTCTTCGTACGGTAAACGTATCTACAGAAGGACACAGTCTAATTTAATTTTTTTGCTGAGAATGCTTCGAAAAAAATCTTTTTTTGAAGTGAAACTTCTTTAGAATCGTTGTGATTTCAAATTCGATGAAACGAAATGAAACGAAACGAAAAAATAAGTGTGCCGCGATTGGCTTGCCGAAGCGGCTCCGAGCGGCGCCGACAAATCACGAAGCGCTCCACGCGGTCTCGCGTCCCCGACTAGTTCAGTGTGTTTTTGACATCCGTACACGCTGTCGTGGCTCTCGGAGCGCCCTGAGATACTTTTATTTCTATTTAGTCTATTATCAACAGATGTCGCTGAACGTCTCTTGCTACATCATACTTACCTGGCGTAGGGATACCGTGATCATGCAGGTGGTTCCTCCAGGGTGAGGCTGCTCCATTGCACTGCGGAGTGGTTGACCCTTGCGATTATTTTTTTATTGCTTAAATGAGTCGACGAGCTCACAGTCCGCCTGGTGTTAGGTGGCTTTGGAGACCATAGACATCTACAACGTAAATGCACCACCCACCTTGAGATATGAGCTCTAAGGTCTCAAGTATAGTTACAACGGCTGCCCCACCCTTCAAAGCGAAACGCATTACTGCTTCACGACAAGAATACGCAAGGTGGTGGTACCTACCCGCGCGGTCTCAATCGCGGTACCATCAGTAATTACGCAATTTATAATTTTGCGGGTTTGATTTTTATTACACGATGTTATTCCTTTACCGTGGAAGTCAATTGTGAACATTTGTTGAGTACGTATTTCATTAGAAAAATCTGGGATTCGAACAACGGTGCATCGCTCAATACGAATGCACCGGACGTCTTATCCTATAAGCCACGACGACTTCGGATATATAGGCTACGAACCTGGATATTTATGCTACGAATCTATCATGAGTTGCAGCTTTAAAGGGAAAGCTGAACGACATTACAACGTTTTTTATTAGCGAACTTTTTTTATTAATCATGGCAAAAGAACATATTTCAGAATTATAATTTTTCGGAGCTGAAGTATCAAATTCTAGTCGAATGTTGAGCCAAATCATCAATAAATATAAAATCCATTTTATTTGAGTTTCGTTCGATTTGCTCCGGCTCTCGGAAACCTCACTATAAACTTTTTGATTGATTCTGTTCGGGAAATTACGGTTTTTAGATAACGAGTGTTTGCGGAGTCGAAATAAGTCAGTTTGATAAAAACGTGCGGCACTCGGGGACTGCCGCGGTAAAGCTATTGTATAGCATTTTTTTATCAACTGATGCAATTATAATTAGACGATAATAATTTAATATTAAAACAATAATAAAATAAGACCACGCTATATTTATAAACATTAACAAAAGCAAAACATTAATTGTCCCCTTCACACACATAGGCTAGGCCGCGCGAGAGAGAGATGGGCAGAATTTTCATGATGCGCATGCAGTGCGACGTCAAGCCGCGCGCTTATTCACAAACACTGCACAAACACAACGTGTGAATGTGTAGAACGCGAGCTACATGGTAGGTGGAGTGGGGTGTGTTAGGTTTTATTTTCGTTACGGAATTTCTTGATTGGGTCGCCGCGCTCAAAGCCAGCGATAAAAACTATGCAACAGCTTAAAAATATATATTATATGAATCTTATTGTTGATCACATTGTTAACTGACGCGGGTAGGTAACAAATCTCTGCCTATTTTTGTGGCGAAACCATTACGCGCCTCGCTGTAAGGAGAGACAGCCATATTATAAAATATATATACATGATAACAATAGCACACTGAAATGATTTATATTAAGAAAGTTCATATAGTGACATCAGCTATTGTACACGCTAGACACCATTAGTGGAGCTTTATATGCGACAGAGAATACCTTCTGAGAAGCAAACAACTATATTCCACCTACGATTCCCGTCCAAATGAGAGAATTTGAAAGCAAATTGAAACTTCTATCGCGCTCTCGACTACGGTACATCGAAGCGTTTATAATTTGACAAGGGTCACCTGATATCGTGTTTCCCCTAATCTCCTTATACGAGGGGGGGTCCCTCGCCACACACTCAAATTAAATTTTAGACGTGTGACGTCATAACGCGGCAGATTAATTTATTATTTGCAAAGCTTAATCACACAGCACAACGCGTTCCTTATTACATCGAGAGGCAGGTTCGGAAAATGATTTATTTCCGGGAAATTTATTGGAAAATGTATATTCAATTCTAGATTGATTTTTCTGATATTCTGCAATATCTATACCAGGATATAATCAACTGTGAATACCATCAAAACATATTAAATTTAGAGAATGATTAGCATTTTTCAAGTGTCTTAGATAAAACGACACAATTTGAAAAGTTTATCAAACAATTTCATCATGAAAATCCGAGCATAATTTGTAAAACAGAAAACAAAATAACTACAACAAATAATTAAAAACGTGCTCTAAACTTAAAAAAGTAGTTCTAGGTAGAGCCACACGGCATGTTTATTTTAAAGCCGCATCACCACGGGACGGACTTTATTAAGGCAGAAATGCATTTAAAATTGTTGCCATACTGCAGCAATTTAACGGTTGCCGCTCTTCGTATTATTTTATAAAGTTTAAAACTCTACATTGTTGGGTTTATCATTTATTAAGTCCCTTTGGACCGAGTGAGAATATTGCATTGTATTTTTCAACATTTGCCTACACTATCCACTGCGTAGACTTGGTCCTCCAAATTTTTTTTATTGGAACGAAGTTCCTTATGGGACGATGCGGGCGGGTACCCTAACCGAGGAAAAACGTCCGTAATGTAAGATTTTTATTAGTAATGCACACAGTGTACGACTTAACTTTGTAATAACGTACAAAAATAACATATTTTTTTATCATTCATTGACCACGATCTCAGAGCGTTCGTTTGCGCAATACACTAACTCTTATGCAAACAACCGTGAATGAAGTGTACCACAATAAGTTCGCACGCTACCGAATGACTATGGGTTGTTGCGAAACCTCTAGTTTTTTTTCTTTATATCTCGAATAGAACTTAAAATTAATATTTTTATAATAAGGAATTTCGTTCCTATCCAGTGTCCCACGACATCACACATCTTTTTTTTTATTGCCCTTGTAGGTAGATCAGCATACCACCTGATGGTGAGTGGTTACCGTCGCTCATGGACTTCAACAACGCCAGGGGCAGAGCCAAGCCAATGCCACTAAAAGCCACTAGTTCTTTCTAATCCGATTCCTGCCAACCCACTTTCGCAATGTATCGCTCCGTCTATCCGGAGAACGATCCACACTGCCAAAGTTCAAGTGGAGCTCTTCCAAAGAAATCATCAGAAGTACAGTATGATATAATATGTCATTAATGATATTAGAATGCTGCTACTTTTTTGGTTACGGAAACCGTTATCGTGTACTTAGTAGACGGTGTACTTAGTAAATTAGGTAGGATGCGTTCGGAAATATTATTAATTAGTACAGTAGGAATAGGCGTAGTCATCGATATAATGGCGTAGTATATACCTTGAAAATACCTTCTGATAAGATTACTGATTTGTGAAAAAAGTGTAATGTGCCCGACAAAAATGTTTTGAGAATAAATGTGTGAGAGAAATTGTCGGTCCTTCGGGGCCCCCTGAGAATGGGGGCCCTGGGCACGGGCCCCGTGTGGCCTTATGGTAAAGACGGTATTGGTGACCAGGGATAATCGATGACACTTTCTTGGCGCTTAATCAAACCTAAAATACATTTTTTGTTCCCTCTCGCTTTGTATTTGTATATTTTTTTTATATATCTTATGGGAGCAGTTGGAGAATTTCGAATATGGTTGTGCTGCTCTAATTATGAAATAGCATAAGCATAGCAATTTGAATGGCAATGACAATCCATCATTGCATTTTTTTTTATTGCTTAGATGTGTGGACGAGCTCACAGCCCACCTGGTGTTAAGCGGTTACTGGAGCCCATAGACATCTACAACGTAAATGCGCCACACACCTTGAGATATAGTTCTAAGGTATAGTCCGCATCCGAAATATCGCCTTTCCTATACGAGCTTTATTTGTAAGTATGTGGTTGTAATATGGTTTGTAAGCCGAGAACACAAACTAATGTTTTTTTTTTTTATTTAAATTAATAATTTTATGAAACACGAAATTGATGCAATTTATTTATTAAAATATTCTTATGCTAAAAAAAGTCATAAGGCTACTGTTTTAAAATTTCGTACTAAGAAAGCTATGTAATTCATAAGCTTAATTCATTTTCGCTGTGTAATTGCTGTAGATTCACGCGAAAGCTCCTCAATTAGCTTAATGTTTAACTGTGTACGTTTCATAGAACGTCAAATTAAAATCAATTCAAGTTAAATATAACGTTTACACGGACCATTGAGCTTAAAGGTTCGTGATGGAAAATCACAACGAACTTTCTAGAAATAAGCTCCAATTAACCGTGAACGTTTTCAGTAAATCTTTCATTTACACATTCCCTTTGAGTTTTTTTGATAACATTTAGTTAACAGCACGGTCGTTAATGGAAATGAAGGTGTTTCATTAGATCTCAATAGTTCAAGTTTTTTTTAATCGTCGTCTCGGGTTTTTTTTTTTTATTGCCTTTGTAGGCAGACGGGCATACGGCCCACCTGATGGTGAGTGGTTACCGTCGCCCATGGACTTCAGCAATGCCAGGGGCAGAGCCAAGCCGCTGCCTACCGCTATATTAAACATTAATTTTTTGGGCTGTGATTGGGAAAATTGTAAGATTTTCTCGATGGGGTTCATGTGAACTCGTTGAAGTGTCAAAAAGGAGCACACCCCGCCTAGGTACTTACGAACGCAATTGAGACCCACATAACAATGTTTCAATGTCGACATTACACATTCAACACTCGTGCTGTTTTAAAGTATTACGATCACGTATTTTGCGATAAATTGTGGCACATCTCGGCATCGGTGCCCCTGTTCAATTTCATTCGGGATTTGGATTCGTTTTAGCGTTTATTTATTTCAAATAGCCAATGATATTAAATCGCTGTGAATGTAACCAGTGAAAAATAATAATGACCAGACGGCAACGCCTCAGAAACTTAATGGGAATGCTAGTAACGGTAGGCAGCGGCTTGGCTCTGCCCCTGGCATTGCTGAAGTCCATGGGCGACGGTAATCACTCACCATCAGGTGGACCGTATGCTCGTCTGCCTACAAGGGCAATAAAAAAAAAAGTTTGGAAACTCTTAAAGTCTGTTTTACGCTTAAAGGCCTAATGGATAAGACGTCCGGTGCATTCGTGTTGAGCGATACACCGGTGTTCGAATCTCAGGTGGGTGCCAATTTTTCTAATGAAATACGTACTCGACATGTTCACGATTGACTTCCACGGTGAAGGAATAACATCGTGTAATAAAAATCAAACCCGCAAAATTATAATTTGCGTAATTACTTGTGGTGGGACCTCTTGTGAGTCCGCGCGGCTAGGTACCACCACCCTGCCTATTTCTGCAGTAATGCGTTTCGGTTTAAAG